GTGGCGACGCAGATTTTAATGTTTCGCTGTGATCGTACTTGTCATAGGTTTAATAGACACAGGCGAATCGTTGTCATTTCATTTAAGAATAAGACCATGTGCAGGTCTACTGTTAATGGGATATCCTGAGATACATCTGTGGTAACTTTAGCTAAACTCATGATGGGGATGTTAATCGTTACGAGGGAGAACAAAAGAATACCACAGTCGATTAGTATGGCTGTCAGTAGACCAATGATGGCGACAACCACCTGTTTCAGCGGGAACCACAATAACGAGGTAAGAGCTAATGAGGCATTTTGAGGGAGAGAGAGGCAAGGGGAAGGTCCAAAGTGAAGCAGGTACTTCCCTTCAATTATTCATAGCAGGAGAATTATCATCAAGCGTGAGGCGTTTTGAATGAATAATTGATTGTGTTAGCAGCTTTATGTTAAAACATGCAGCCTTGCTCCTGACGGACAGGAGTCGCTGGGGAAAGGCATGTGACAGGGATACAGAGGCACATGTCACTTGTGTGAGGAGGAGAGCTCCTTCAGGAACATTCACTTTAATGATCTGAGTTGGGCGGAATGGCTTCCAATGGCAAACAAATGGCAAACATATCTATGTATCAAACAAATAGCCAATAAATTTAATGGTCTCAATATCATTTAATTCACAACAGGATGCCTTTGAGAAACTTTCAGAACCAGATTGATTTCCGAAAAAGCAATTTGCTACTGAAAGTACTTAAGTTAATCCTAAACTAAGCTAAGCAGTTTATCTAAAGTGAAAATTTTCACTGTTTAAACATATCAAATGGATGCAAAGGAATCATGTTCTTAGCTAGCATCAAAAACAACCTCCCTATACTTTTCTAAACATTTAACATCAGAAGACATGCACTTTAGCAGATGTTTATTTTTTTTAAATATGTTTCGAACTTCTTTAGGTCAAAGGGGCACTGACCTCACCACTGAGAAAAATAAAAGCAGGCCAGCCTAACAAAACCTCAGCCAACCCTCAAATGTGTCAGTGTAGCCTCAGCTTGGCTCCATGGCATTAAAACTGCAACTCAAACCACCGCAATAACCTTTACAGAGAGTCTATTCTTTAATGTCACCATTGTTCCTTAGCAACTTTTCAAAACAGGGCGTTACAGGTATTTGAGCAGTGCTCTGCTGCAGAATAGAGTGTCAGGCAAACAGCTATTTCTGAGACAAGATTTAAAGAGGAGAGGAGAGGAGCTCAAGGATACTTGAGCAGAGAAAAATTATGCACATGGTGAGAGCAAGTACAATAGGTATCTGAATTGTAATTGTGCATTCAAAAGAAAATTATTTGTTTGGTAGATTGTTTAAGCACAATACTGAGAAAAAAAATAGGAAACCTGCAGTAAGAATAGACAGAAAAAGTGAAGGGTAGTAATCAAATAACTGCACAAAATAAAATTTTCGGCACAAAAAGGGAAAGTGTAACTTTACATTTTTAGCCTTAAATGCTGATATTTTATATAATAAATGATTATTATCTTTTTGCAGGTCAAATAAATGCTCTGAACTTTTTTATATTGTACAAAAATACAATATTTTTTAAATTAATATGATATTATTCTGTATTTATATATGATATGATAAATTCTAGAAAAAAAATATTTTTATCTTGTACAAATCACAAAAAAAAAAAAAAAAAAAAAAAACTTAAAATATTTAACTGGGGCAAAAAAAAATGTGCAAAAAAAAGTCTCGCCCTTTGTTATTTAATCTTATGGAAAAAAATATTTACCTCCCAGAGGTCTCCAAAGGGCCCCAATGGTGTCAATCAAGAAGCTATTTAACTGATCCTGCCCCCAGATGAACTGACGGGCTAATTTAAAGCACGCCCACATGAGCCCACAGAGAGATCTTTGAATAAAGACGAGGTATAATTATTACAACACTAAACAAAAGAGAGCAGGTCAATAACATTTTGTAGAACAGCCATGTCAGAACTGGCCTGTGGCGGGTCAATTGAGTGAGATCTAGCACCAAATAATCAAAATCATCTTGAACCTGTCTGATTCACACACTACAGAATCACAAAGCTATAAATAGGCTGTGAACAGGTGGAGTGTCATCACACTAATTGTCACAAAGATGTGAACCAAAATGATTGTGGTGTTCATTTAAATGATAACAACTGCATATTCAGATCCAATTAGGGGGGGGGAAAGATAGAAGCAGTTCGGTTTGCATGCCATATTATAAGCAAAGCCCAGAGAGCTTTGCATTTATGAGTAATGATGAATATGGAACGTTAAGGAGAATCTGGGTCCATCTGTGAATGTCGTACGGATGCGTCCCATGGGCTGATGGGATAAAGGAGGGCATGAAACAGAGTGCTAACAGGAGCGCTGTAGCGAGTTTAGTAAGAGATGTGGGGATGAACCATCTGTTTAAAAGCAGTGAGATGGAGAAAGTGAAGAGAGGCAATTACCTAAAGCATCAGGAAGCATGGGTGTCTCCTTTATTGCTCCACCCAGGTAAGTTTAACAACGTGCTGATGAAAAGAGAGCATGCATATACGAAATATTCACACTAAACAGACAGACTTGTGCTCCCTTCTTAAATGAGGAAACGAGTAATTCAATGCACTGTTAGGATTAGGAGGGATCAAGCATAGCATTAAAATGACACCAAGAAACACTAAAAACAGACAACAACACATATCGTCATTAGTGGTTGACCTATATACATCAGCTGAAGTTTGGCATTTTTTAATTACAGGCAATAACCCATACATTTTTTTTATTTGCCCAATGTGTCGGAAGCTGAACTTTTATTTTGATGGTGCTGAGAATGGCTGAGCACACAGGGCTCCCATTTTCCATCTACATCCTCGGTTTAACGGTCTTCTCTAATATGTTATTAGATAGAACTATTAAACAAAGAACGTTAATGGTATACGAAAAAGTATTATAGTGTTGGCTTTTATATTATCAGTAATAAAAAGGCAAACACAATAATAGTCTCTCACTGTAATACTTCTAATTTACCGTCATGATTCAGCAAAGACGCATTTGTATCATATCATCACAAATATTCGAATATCTAATAAACATTTCATTTTGCAGACTTTGTCGAATCTTTGTTGTTTTCCGGTGGTGGAAATCCATTACTGAAACTTCCTCACCGTTGTGGAGAGCGCAGTTCATGGTTGCATAGCAACGACAGACGCCACCGGGAGTGCAAGTGCTTTGGAAAGGAGACAGTGGCGCAGTAGCGCCTTTTATGCGTTTTAGACGTGACATGTGAACCAAGTCTGTGTATTTTACAGATTCATTTTCAAATTTATTTTCAAATTATTTATTTCTAATTTAAGATATCAGCAATAAATGTTTTTTTTTTTTTTTTTTTAATTTTAAAAAAATATATCGGTCGACAACAAATTGCCACTTCTAAAAAGGTGTCACCCATCCCACCAAGGACACAAAGGACTGAGACTCTCCACTCCAATTAAAGACAACCTGAGCTTGACAGGCCAGGGAGATATATTACTGCCCGAGGTGAAAGTTCAACAATGTATGTGCTATCGACAGATTAAAAATGCTTTCTATCCTTCAGCTCTAAAGCTCAAGCAGCTTTCGTTTCTCTTCATTTAAAAGGAGGTGGACGATTTGCATGTATGGCGCAATGACATCAAGCTGCCTACTTCAATATATTATAATGTGCTGCTTGCCCTTAATGGAGAATCAATGATGGGACAAGCCCGTCACCTTCGAGTCGAAGCAAACGCAATTCACACATTGACATGTGGAGGGTGTATGTGATTGATTCCGACTGCTCGAGGGTTTTAATATTGTTTTCCGTGCACTCATTGACTCTCACTCACCGTCTTCCACATTATCCATTAAAGATCACAGTCTGGCAAAGGCTTAATCTCGCTGTCTAGGCCCCTCCCTTTGAGATCTTAAAACGCTTTCTTCGTCTTGCCACTCCTTTCTTTTCTGACTGCACACACTGGAAATGTCCAAACACGCTTGCTGAGAGGTAGTTAAACAGAACCAAATGTTTCAATGGTCGAATAAGTGCTTTGCACCTGTAAAGTCCAAACAATTTGTGCAACTCAAATGATCAATATCAATATAGGTTTGCATTTTGTCTTGACTCTTTGTAATTAGCACTTTCACAGCACTTTTTTCCACTAATATTTCACTATTAAAACCATACTAATAATGAAGAACCCATAACCAATATAAACGGTGTAGACATCTAGCTGACTTGGCATGAAGAAACAGAATTAACAATGAGCTTCTATCATGAAGGTTAGTGAATTGACTAAACTGCCATAGTGATATAAGGATCAGGGTTCAGTTGTTCTTCAGGACATCACATTTTCTCCAATACTTGGATGACCGTCAGAGCAAAGTCAGCATAAGGGCACTTATGCACAAGAGAAAGCTTTGACAGAGCTATCGATAGACTTATGCCTATTTCAAAGGGTTTTTTAAACTGAGGTCCGGGGATTCCCAACAGGCCGCATATCTGGGCTAGACGGTACTGTGAATAGTTACCAGATCCTTCCAACATAACTTACCACTAAATCAATAAAATCATCAATTACATCAAACAAGTACTGCTGAAATCCTTGGGAAACATGCATTTACACACACACACAAACCATATGGATAGCACCACAGATATGCATTGGCACACACAGGCACACTTGTGACCCCGAGGTGTGTGATCAAATGTGCATGTGAATATTCAAATGCGCAGTGGAGGAGATAAGACTAGGGGGAAGAAATACACACAGGGACGATTAAGCATTGCACACACTTTTATATTATCCTCGGCATTAATGGATTGTGTGTGAAAGAGTTGTAAGACGTGGAACAAAGCTGATGCTCAATAGCCCCACTTTTGGGTTAATCTCTCATAAAAGTGCACACATCAATGTCATTCAGCTGCGGAGACATGATGGTGTAAAATGATTAATAGTTCCAGACAGCCTGCATGCTCAGCAAAACCACTGCTTCTCACCTTCCCAAAGTCCCTCACGTCAAACAGATCGAAGGGATCAAACAGCTCGCTGTTCCTCAGGCCGAACTTATCATGGCACACTTTCAGGAATGTCCGGATGTTCTTCAGACACAGAAACTGGAAAAGAGGGAGACAAATAAAGAACGTCAGATTGTCTTAGATTAAGATTTCAACCTGACTATAAAAAAAGGAATAAAACAAATGGAAATGTATTTATGCAAAGTGCAAACCAATGGAAATATTTCCATATTTAACAGCATTAAAACACTGTCACTTCACAGGCATGGAGAACTGTGACACCATCTCATTTCTGCAGGCTATGGAGCATATTTAATTTCCTGGAGCCTATTGACAGTCAGCTCATTTCCTTCTTCCTGTACCAGTGATTAAGCAAACAGTTATCGCGCACTATGATTTGGATCGGCAGACCCAGGTTGGTTCAGATAAGCCAACAAGTCTGGCGGATTGCCACTAGTATGATCTACCCCGGTCGCTGTTCACTTACCAGCCTACGAACCTACCATTCCTTCTGTCCTTAGGGTCTCTAAAGCAGACTGGATCTTTCTCTCATTGCACAATCATTACCATTAGTAACACTGATACTAGTTTGACACAGTGCTGGCTTCTGCTCCTCATTTGTTTCAGAGAATCCATGCATAAACATTCCTTGTAATGAGAATTTGTCTAATATAATTGACTTGAGCAGAGTGAAAACAATACAACCACACAAACAGGGACAAAACAATAACAACTTTGTCATTGTTTATTTCTACCCACCAAATGTCAATGAGTCATGTATCATGTTTAATTCATACAGATATAATTCAATTATGTGCATGGGTTCGCATTTCTATGGAGACAGCATTGGAAATAAACTCCACAAATACTGGTAGCTGTGTTCGCACTTAAGGCGAATAGTGTGTTGCGATCCTAGTAATGTCTCCGGAATGAAGGGGGCTGTTAACCAGATATATTACAATCTATTATTCAGCTAGAATCACAACCCCTATTGTGAACGCACCACTAGCAGCTCTGTTTCTTGTGCAAAGTGGGACAATGGAGGCCTATTTGTCACATTAAAGGCAGTACAATGGAGATAACCATTCTTAGAACACAAGCCACAATCATGATGCTACTTTTAAAACAAGCCCTTAATGAGAGCTTTAAGTCAATAAGTATGCATTCTTATTTAATTTAATTTTATTTAATCTTGCCGGTTTACAGTTAATGAGAGTTAGTTGTCGGTAGGGATGGGTGATATGACTAAAATCTAATACATCACCATACGAGTAATTTTATTTCAAGAAAACGATATATGTTTATATAAGGATAGTTATTTTTGCTTTAAATATGATTTTAATGATTTCAAAATTTTTGAAATGAAAATTGATTTTTTTTATTCGTCACCATTTTCAATATAACGAAAAAATAATAGGCCAACTAGCCTAAGTGAAAAAAAAAAAAAAAAACTCAAGCTTACTGAAGACAAGTAAAGAGTGATAAAGAAAGAACAAATAAACTAATTACAACTAATTACATTTCCTATATAAAAATATATAGGAAAACAAACTACAATAGAAAAAAGACAAACGTTATAGGCCTACCTGAAAAAACTTCAAGCACTAGAAATAAGAAATACTATATCAATTGTATAAAGTAATCAAATGTATCAAAAAACACTGCATTGTCTTCATTGTGTAAATTAAATAGTCTTATTAAAGTTACAAAAGAGATTTAGTCAAGAACAGTGAGCGACTTGAAGAAAACTGTGTTTTCTGTTTACATTCACTTAAGACATAAAGGACTGTGCTGACTTGCAAAGGCATGGTCACTTTGACACATAAATATGTGTATTTAACCCCAATTAGTTCGCCAAAAATCCCTCAGTTCAGTTCTCAGCTTCGTGTGTGTGTCTCTCAGAAAGCATGTGCATATAGTGAAACGAGTTATCTTTTAATGCACCTTAGACATTGCACATAACACACACAAAATAAAAAATAAATAAATAAAAAATAAAAAAAATAGGAAAAGATAGGGACTGATGAGATGTGGGGGAAGGTTATCTTATATTATCTTATTATATCATCTTTTATTTTATACAGAATTGACAATGGCAATTGTTACATAGGAGGAAGGATGAAAATAAAAATCGACCAACACAATATTGGCAATATGGTGGTAGTGGGGAGTGGGGTGGTGTTGGTAATGACAATGGTAATAAATAATAAATGGTTACTTTGTTTACACATACACACACACACATACCCACACTCACACTCGCTCACATACACACTTAGATCAAACACTTAAATCACTCAGGTCACTTCTGGAATAATGGATTTACAAGATTGCTCACTACTGCACTATGTTGGTTTGTATGTATGTCTGACTATTAAAAAAAAAAAAAAAAAAAAAAAATCACTGCAAAATCACTTGTTTTCGAACCGCAATTCTTAAAAATTTATGCAGATGATAAGCGTTTGTGACTGTGTAGCACAGCAACATTATGTGAGCGTAACCGTGATAGACACGATAGAACTGGCTGACAAATTTCTACCGGTTAATTGTGTCTACCAGTATATCGCCCACCCCCCTTGTCTGTCAGGATATAATATGAAATGAACATCCCTAAATTAAATGTATTGAAATATGCGTTTCATTTTGCAGTTCAGTTAACTAAAATGAATTTTTTGAACTTTTCCAAAGCTGAATGAATATGAGATTGAGATATGAGATTATTAAAAAAAAAATATATATATATATATATATATATATACACACACACACACACACACACACATCACCCCGCCCTGGAAAGCACCACTAAAATATCATATCCCCCAAAAAAGTAGGCAATTTATAGTTCTCAATTTGTACTCCGCAGGAAGGACTCGATACTAGACATTCTGGTAGGCAGTAACATGCTTTTGGAGCAGATAGTGTTTTCTTAAAAAAAAGATGATTCAGTAACTTCTCTTTCTCTCTCAACCATTTTTTGTTTCTCTGTGACTAGCAATTCAGTTTGTTCTGAACCCACTAGGCATTAAAAACACTCTGTCCTTTAAAGTACTCTAGTATGCATTTTTCTCACCCTGTTTAGCTACGTTCAGCTGAAATGAATAGGTCACTCTTTCTTCATACTAATCACACCTCCCTTTAGTCTCCTGATTGCTTACTGGAAGCACAAAGGTTTCGCTTTTGGCTGTGCAGTGTCATAGCGGGGGTTTGAGCAAATCTGTTGCTCAGAGTGCGCACCTCAACTCCAGGCTACGTTTGTGTGGCTGTTGCTCTCTTTGCATTAATATTCTAGTGATGACTACATGGAAAGATCAGAGCACCACCTGTCTCGTTCAGCACAAGCACTCAAAAATGCGCCTTTCAATGAAAACCAAATAGGAGAAGGAAAGACCGCCATGAAGAGTGGCAGACATGAATAAACACCTAGGGGAAGAAACCAGGTTACAAAAAGCTGACATTCCTGAACACACTCATCACTCAGGAACGGATACACACACAGGGAATAATGAATTATCCTTCCCGCACTCTTCTAGGATATGTCTTCCAAACAGTGAAAGCATCCAATTTCAATCTGTACCCACAAAATCATAACCCGTACCCACATTTTTTTCAAACTGTACTCGCAGATTTGTAGCCCGTTCCATTTTAGATATCTAGTCTGCCGACACTTAAATTCTAGGCTAAAATTTGGGGACAGGGTGAAATAGACAACGATTTATTAAGAATTATGAGCATCGTAATCTTGTCCATCTATTTATTTGTGCTATTCTAATAGGGCTTGTAGTACTTTAGAGATGCACCTAGGGCTGGAACATTAGCATGATAATTTTTCTCAGAAAAAAAAAAAAAAACAATATCAAGAGTTCGATAAATGTTCGATAATGTTTATGTGCCAAAAGAAGAACGAAACTCATTTGAACTGTGCACGCCTCACGGACTGTTTATCCGCTCTGCTCAATGTCCAACAGCAGCGCGAGCTCACTAGAACAGATGCGCTTACTCAGATCGGCCTCGGTCACAAGATCCAGTGAGAAGCGCTTGAATTCAGAGAAGAACACAAATGTCTCAGTGACTACGTTTACATGCAGCCAATAACCTAGTCGTGCGTGGCGATGTAAACACAGACAAAAACCCGAATATGCTCATATTGCGGATTTTAAAAACCCGGTTATGATCCCTGGCGTACCACTTTCAAACCGGAATTCGTCTTTGGCTAAGCCACGCCCTAGAATGTAGATTGACCAATCACAGCGCAGCCAAGAATGAGCTCCGACAGAGGTCCGACACTTCAACACAGGCGTCTCATATTTTTGGTCTCGGCAGGCTATTACCGTCGTAGTTTTATCAAAAATATGGTTAAACGTTGTGCCTGGGGCATTTGCAACACAGATGCGTTTCCCAAAGAGGTTGGAGGGGGGTGTTTTTTCCCCTTCCCAAAACCGAAGTCAAATCCTGACAAGAGTCGTCTTTGGATTAAACTGTATCGACGTCCTCAGTCAGCTAAACCCCTTAAAGGTCAACAAGCACATCTTTTTTGCTTCTAACCTTACTGTGAAGTTAATGTTAGTAAAGTTAGACCGTTTTATAATGTTTTAGGTTATGATTTCGGTTCTCATACCGGTTGTTGATACACTAGCACACGCTGCTAATAAATACAATGTTATACTCGTGTAGTCCGTTTGCTTTGTAATAGCGATTATATAAGTGAATAGAGACCTGCCCAGCTTTGCATGAACTTTGGGGCTTAGCCAATGGTTAATTTTTGGTCATGTAAACACATATTGGCATATCCCCTAGTGATTTGTGTTATGCACATGGTCTAATCGAAAGGAATCTTGGTCTTTTGAGTAGAGGAACTTCTTGTATGTGTCTATTTTCAAAAATATATTATTTTAAAGTGTGTTAAAAATTGTATTGTGGAAATAGGTAAAAGGGTGATGATAATATACTTTTAATATATTAAAATATAGTTAAATTCTTGTTAGTATATTTGCAATGTAAAAAAAACAAAACAAAAAACAAGATATATTCTCCATTGTGACCAATCAAATGTCGATTGCAATTCGGAAAACTCTCTGACTGGTGGATCTCACATCGAG